CTCTCTCTCTCTCTCTCCTTGTGTGTGTGTGTGTGTGTGTGTGTCTACCTTGCTGTGTTTGATAAACTCAAGAGGACTTGTGATTGGTTATCGTTAATCAATTAACTTCAATCTGGATCTGTCCCTAGAAGTCTGCGTGAAGCTTTTTTGGATAAGAGAACCTAACACCGATAATAGACTTCAGCCTTTTGCAATATACTCAGTTAAAACTCAACCAACTTTTTTGATTATAGTGATACCAAAACAAGCAGGGCAAAAGCAATTAACATTACTATCCTGGTGTAAGTTTAGTAGGATCTCTGCATTCCTTTTCCATTTTAATCTGTTCACTACCCTCTCATATAAAATGTAAATACAGTATGTTGGCTCACCCTACTTCATGGTTGGCAAAAAAAAACAACCCCTCTGTTTTGTATCTCTTGAATTTCAGGCATCCAAAAGTGATACTTGTGAACAACAACGGAATTTGGAGGCTGCTGTTAGCATATCATTAGTTTCCCAATGACCCTGAGTGTTCATAAATATTTCTTGCTGCCCCCCGCTGCACAATTTCCATCTCTGCGGCATACACTCACACTTGCTGACAGTGTAGATTTAAATGGATGCTAGCTAATAAAGTAGGTCTATTCTTAGAGTTACATGGCAAGTCTTTTATTATCCCTTTCTTGCTTGTGGCAGTCCTGATGACAGATGTGACCTGTTCTCTCAAACAGCATTCTGTGCCGCATTAATTACTTTGGTGAATGCCTGTATATCACTGTGCATTTTAAAGGGGTTTCCTTTTAATAATTGTTGAACCATTATTCCTTTAACAGCTGGCTCTCTTTGTGTTTCTCTTTTCTAGCAAATGCCAGATGTGAATGTGACCTGGGATGGAGAGGGCCCCAGGCAGCTGCAATCTATCGACATTTCTATTGCTGTGGCAACAGACCGAGGTCTCATTACACCAATCATAAAAGATGCTGCTGCCAAGGGAGTGCAGGAAATTTCTGCCTCTGCAAAGGTATGTCTCAGATGTACAGTAGGCTTAGAAATATCATGGCTGTTTAGCTTCTTGCAGCCAAGTGTATGGCGTGACCCAGATGAACATGAATGATGATCTTAAAGCAGTTTTAAAATAGTCTTTAAGGCTGCTTTAGTGGTGTTGGGATTTTAAAATAATTATTAAAGTATTAAGTCTGTGCCATTCATTCTCTTAGCACTCTTTTTTAAATGCAAAGATAACTTAGCCATCAAATTCTGCAGTGAAATCCCAGCTAAACATGGCTCATTGCAGCCTGTGAAATTGTGTCTTAATTGAAGCGATAGATTAAAAAACAACAACAACAAAGTAATTTCAGATTTTTTAGTATTTGCAGTATTTTCTCCAGGTGCTAGGTGGGGGTGGTTTGTTTTATTGTAATTATTATATCCCTTGTTCGTGGCTGTGACCATTTGAGCATTCACTGTTGACACATATTTAGCTTGTGATCCACTATGATCCCCAGATCCCTTTCTGCAGTACTCCTTCCTAGACAGTCATTTCCCATTTTGTATGTATGCAAATGATTGTTCCTTCCTAAGTGGAGTACTTTGCATTTGTCCTTATTTAATTTAATCCTATTTACTTCAGACCATTTCTCCAATTTGTCCAGAACATTTTGAATTTTAATCCTATTCTCCAAGTCACTTGCAACCCCTCCCAGTTTGGTATCGTCCGCAAACTTTATAAGGCCTGGTCCACACTAACCCCCCACTTCGGACTAAGGTACGCAAATTCAGCTACGTTAATAACGTAGCTGAATTCGAAGTACCTTAGTCCGAACTTACCGCGGATCCAGACGCGGCAGGCAGACTCCCCCGTCGATGTCGCGTACTCCTCTCGCCGAGCTGGAGTACCGGCGTCGACGGTGAGCACTTCCGGGATCGATTTATCGTGTCTAGACAAGATGCGATAAATCGATCCCAGAAGATCGATTGCCTGCCGCCGAACCAGGAAGTAAGTGTAGACCTATCCTAAGTGTACTCTCTATGCCATTATCTAAATCATTGATGAAGAAATTGAACAGAACCGGACCCAGAACCAATCCCTGTGGGACCCCACTCATTATGCCCTTCCAGCATGAATGTGAACCACTGATAACTACTCTCTGGGAATGATTTTCCAACCAGTTATAAACCCACCTTATAGTAGCTCCATCTAGGTTGTATTTCCCTAGTTTGTTTATGAGAAGATCATGCGAGACAGT